CGAGCGACGATAATGATGATGATGATGATGATGATGATGATGATGATGATGATGATGATGATGATGATGATGATGATGATGATGATGATGATGATGATGATGATGATGATGATGAGAACTGAGAACTGGTGCGAAGCAGCGAGTAGAGGGTTGCTCTGTGTAGCTGCATCATTCGTCGTTTTCGGACATGAACCTTTTATTTATCGTTTCGCTCTTTGTACTTTGCCTCTGCAAATTGTTTTCTAGTAGCATCTTGAATTTAGCCACTGTGTTCGCTTCTACTATATGCTGAGGCAGGTCGTTCCTGACATTCACCACTCTTCGTTCGAAACAGAGTTGATGGGCGACCCGCTTCAAATCCGGGACGATAAGTTTATACCGGTGTCCTCGCGTGCAGCTTGGTGTGCGCAGATGAAGTAGTTGTCTCAACATGGGGTAATCACCCAGATGTAATATCCGGTGCGTCATGATGAGGTCAACCCTCAGCCGACGATAAGATAGGGTGTATAACCTAGTTTCTTACATCGGTCTTCGTATGGCATACCTCGTAAGTTGGGAATCAGCCTAGTGGCTACATGCTGCACCCGCTCAAGCTTTTCTACTTCGCCCCGGGTGATGGGACAGTATGCGGGAGTGCCGTACTCCAGCATTGGTCGTATTATCGAGACGAAGAGGCGAGTGGCAATCTCTTCGGACCAAGTGCTAAAGCTGCGCCTGAGAGCCCAAAGCATCCGAAGGCTGTTTTGGTACAGCCTATTCGTGTTGTCAATGGACTTTAGGTCGCAGCGTGAGAGCACACCGAGGTCGCGCACGAAAGGAGCGGGATGCAGCGGTTGACCAGCCACTGTGTACGTTCAGGCGTGATCACACTTACCCAACCTCATGAATTGCGACTTGGCAGGGTTGATCGGAAGTTTAATCTCTGCAGACCATGTTGAGAGGCGGTCGAGATCCTGCTGAAGTAAATCGCAATCATTGAGTGTGCGGATTACTCTCCACACATTCAAGTCATCTGCGAACAATGCACATGGTGATTGGAGTAGCTTAGGGACATCGTTTACATGGATTAGAAACAATATCGAGCCCAGTACAGTGCCTTGGGGCACGCCACTGCTCGGTGGATACCACTCAGTTAGATGGTTGTCCACCTGGACTCTCCACTTTCGATCAATAAGGAAATTGCTGATCCATTTGTGCAGCGAACCACCAACACCGCACATCCTCAGTCTGTAAAGGGGCACGGCATGGTTAACCTTGTCAAAAGCCTTACTGAAGTCAATGTAAATGACGTCAACCGATTGGCCTTTGTTCATCGCTTGTAACCATTCATGCCTCGTCAACAATAGGTTGGTGATGCACGTGCGACCTTTCATGAAATCATGCCTTGCGGAGGTCAACAGGTTTATCGACTCGAGAAGCTGCAGAAGGCTCTTCTTCACAATCTTCTCGAGCGTCTTTGCCAAAACTGCCGTCAGGCAGATCGGCCGGTAGTTATCCACTTTACTTGGGTTACCACCTTTCGGGATAGGTTTTACGACTGAGCATTTCCAGTCGTCCGGTAGTAGACCAGTGGATAGTGATCTGTTAAACAGTTCAGTTACAGAAGGCGCGATGGTTGCCGATAGGGACTTGAGGATTAGTGGGTGTATACCATCTGGTCCAGCAAGCATTGTCCCGTCAAGTTTTGCTAGAATCTTGCGCACATCCTCAATATTGCAGTCCAGGCTGTTAAGTTCGGCTGGAACGGTACTCGTCGAGCTCATTGCAGATACCTAGTCACTTGCAACTAAGGAGGCGAAGTGCGTCGCCAATGCGGACTCACGATCTGAACTCGAGGTTAGGGTCTGTCCGTCTGAGCCTTCTAACACTGGGACATTGGCTACAGGCCTCAGGCGCCGTTTCACGTATGCAAAGATCCTCTTGGGAGCAGTTTTTGCGGCGGTTGCAAGCTCCTCTTCGAAGCTTCTGTGTTTTCTTGTTTTCGCGTCGTTGCAGCGATTTCGCTGTATCTTATAAGCATTGTAGTCACCAGAGCCAGATAACACGAACTTGTTCCATAGTCTACGTCGCCGTCGGGCCATTTTGTTGTACTCTTTGTCAAACCAATGTGGTTTGACTGGCCCAACTTTTCCCAAATTTGAGGGGTACAAATCGGGCGCACAACGATTTCACTCCCTATTTAATGATAGTCCAACAGGTTTCAGTAGATGAATCCTGTGGTAAAGACCAGTCTATCTGGCTCGCTGCTCGAATGAGGCCATTAAAGTCCGCCTTCCAATAGTTGAATGTTGGCTCCAGTGGGGGAGAATACGACAGTGTTAGTTCCATGCTGTCTATGATCTTCGAGTGGTCGCTCGCTCCCAGACGCTCGAAGACTTGAATGTTATGCACACGCTGCTCACAGCTAGTCAAAAGTAGGTCTAAGCATGATGGAGCCGCGCGCGCAGTAGTGCGTGTCGGTTGGTTGATGTGCTTTGTGGCTCCAGTTTCAAACATCAACTCCGTAAACTTACTCTCGACTTCACACTGGCCGGGGAGAAGTTCAGTTTCAGGCCACTGTATTCGGGGCAAGTTAAAATCACCCATGAGTAGGAACATCGGACGACTCATGTGGTTGCGGACATGCGGCAAGCAGTCCAAACTGCGGCTCAGTGGGCTGCGATATGCCGCACCCACGAGCAACTCGCAGCGTCTGAGGTGAATCGAACACCATAACTGCTCACATAGACTATCAGCGCTTTGGTAGGCGCTCACTAGTCTCCCACACAAGGAAGACTTTATGTAAAGTAGAACGCCACCGCGATCATTTGATGGTCTATCACAGCGGAAGCATGAGTAGCCGGTGATTTCCACTTCTTGGATTGTTACCTCGGAGTTTAACCATGTCTCAGCAAGATCTAATACGTCTGGTCGCTGAGAGCTTACAAAGTCGCACAGCATATCGCGCTTGTTCATCAGACTGCATACGTTAGTAAAGGCTACGCGCAGACCGCGGTAGGAACCGCTGGGCGCGCCTGAAGCATTAGAGACCTGTTGATCTGGATTCGTGGAGGAATCCGGGCAACTACCCGAAAATTTACAATTCGCAGATTGGGTTCTCCATCCTCTGTGCGTCGTCTTAGTTCAATCATAGCAGACTTGAGCTTTTCTCTGTCTACCGGGTCTAAGTCAGCGCGCACGTGAATCTTTAGACCCTTCAGCCTATGAAGACGGGACAAGAGTAACTTGGGACTTGATTCCTCGACAAAAGTTACCCTCATAGGCCGACATTTGCCCTCCATGCTTTTTCCTAGAAGGGCGATCTGCTGAACTTTGAGCCCGCCCTCATTTACATCGAGTTGTCTATCAATTAATGATTGTAAAACTCGACGTCGTGCTCATAGCGCACCTGAGGGTTGGAATTATTTGATTCAGGCGCGTGAAATACCATGAGGCTACTGCGCCTCAGGTCGTTAGACTCTGCTCTTGATTTCTTCGATGTTTGTATTTTCCATTCGTTATCGTCAATTTGTTTATTGCAAACTGGAGGTGTACTGCCAAATGAACATATTGTCGGCCTTAAGCGAGATCCTGACGGAACTTTAGTATCTGGGTTCCGGGATGGACGCGATGTACTAGGGACTGGCTGCGTCCCTGCCTGTGTTGTAGCACAAGGCGAGTTGGCCATTTTAGAGCATTTCGTTGTACTGGTCCACTTGCTAGACGTGTTAGATCTGTTCTGCGCAAGTTTTGCTTGGCAAAGTTTACAAACTATCTATAAAAATTCGTTCTGAATATATTGGATTACACGAAATTGGTCCACTCTAAGACCAACACACGACATATGAAGCTTAACACAGCAGAGACTGCATGTAATTGCGTTAGCTCGATGCCCCACGATGGTGATGGTATTTCCTTCAATCTTATGCGATCATGATGATGATGATGATGATGATGATGATGATGATGATGATGATGATGATGATGATGATGATGATGATGATGATGATGATGATGATGATGATGATGATGATGATGATGATGATGATGATGATGATGATGATGATGATGATGATGATGATGATGATGATGATGATGATGATGATGATGATGATGATGATGATGATGATGATGATGATGATGATGATGATGATGATGATGATGATGATGATGATGATGATGATGATGATGATGATGATGATGATGATGATGATGATGATGATGAGAACTGAGAACTGAGAACTGAGAACTGGTGCGAAGCAGCGAGTAGAGGTTGCTCTGTGTAGCTGCGTCATTCGTCGTTTTCGGACATGAACTTTTTATTTATCGTTTCGCTCTTTGTACTTTGCCTCTGCAAATTGTTGGTCTAGTAGCATCTTGAATTTAGACACGGTGTTCGCTTCTACTATATGCTGAGGCAGGTCGTTCCAGACATTCACCACTCTGCGTTCGAAACAGAGTTGATGGGCGACCCGCTTCAAATCCGGGACGATAAGTTTATACCGGTGTCCTCGCGTGCAGCTTGGTGTGCGCAGATGAAGTAGTTGTCTCAACATGGGGTAATCACCCAGATGTAATATCCGGTGCGTCATGATGAGGTCAACCCTCAGCCGACGATAAGATAGGGTGTATAACCCTAGTTTCTTACATCGGTCTTCGTATGGCATACCTCGTAAGTTGGGAATCAGCCTGGTGGCTACATGCTGCACCCGCTCAAGCTTTTCTACTTCGCCCCGGGTGATGGGACAGTATGCGGGAGTGCCGTACTCTAGCATTGGTCGTATTATCGAGACGAAGAGGCGAGTGGCAATCTCTTCGGACCAAGTGCTAAAGCTGCGCCTGAGAGCCCAAAGCATACGAAGGCTGTTTTGGTACAGCCTATTCGTGTTGTCAATGGACTTTAGGTCGCAGCGTGAGAGTACACCGAGGTCGCGCACGAAAGGAGCGGGATGCAACGGTTGTCCAGCCACTGTGTACGTTCGGCCGTGATCACACTTACCCAACCTCATGAATTGCGACTTGGCAGGGTTGATCGGAAGGTTAACCTCTGCAGACCATGTTGAGAGGCGGTCGAGATCCTGCTGAAGTAAATCGCAATCATTGAGTGTGCGGATTACTCTCCACACTTTCAAGTCATCTGCGAACAAAGCACAATGTGATTGTAGTAGCTGAGGCACATCGTTTATATGGATTAGAAACAATATCGGGCCCAGTACAGTGCCTTGGGGCACGCCGCTGCTCGATGGATACCACTCAGTTAGATGGTTGTCCACCTGGACTCTCCACTTTCGATCAATAAGGAAATTGCTGATCCATTTGTGCAGCGAACCACCAACACCGCACATCCTCAGTCTGTCAAGGAGCACGGCATGGTTAACCTTGTCAAAAGCCTTACTGAAGTCAATGTAAATGACGTCAACCGATTGGCCTTTGTTCAGCGCTTGTAACCATTCGTGCCTCGTCAACAATAGGTTGGTGATGCACGAACGACCTTTCAGGAAACCATGCTGTGCGGAGGTTAACAGGTTTTTCGACTCGAGAAGTTGCAGAAGGCTCTTCTTCACGATCTTCTCGAGCGTCTTTGCCAAAACTGCCGTCAGGCAGATCGGCCGGTAGTTATCCACTTTACTTGGGTTACCACCTTTCGGGATAGGCTTTACGACTGAGCATTTCCAGTCGTCCGGTAGTAGACCAGTGGATAGTGACCTGTTAAACAGTTCAGTTACAGAAGGTGCAATTATGGTCGATAATGACTTGAGGATTAGTGGGTGTATACCATCTGGCCCAGCAGGTTTCGTCCCGTCAAGATTTGCTAGAATCTTGCGCACATCCTCAATATTGCAGTCCAGGCTGTTAAGTTCGGCTGGAGCGGTGCTCGTCGAACTCATTACAGACACCTGGTCACTTGCGAATACGGAGGCGAAGTGCGTTGCCAATGCTGACGCACGATCTGTACTCGAGGTTAGGGTCTGTCCTTCTGAGCCTTCTAACACTGGGATATTGGCTTTAGGTCTTAGGCGCCGCTTCACATATGCGAAGATCCTCTTGGGAGCAGTTTTTGCGGCAGTCGCGAGCTCCTTTTTGAAGCTTCTGCGTTTTCTTGTTTCCGCGTTGTTGCAGCGATTTCGTTGTACCTTGTAGGCATTGTGGTCCTCATCAGAACCAGATAATACGAATTTGTTCCATAGTCTACGTCGCCGTCGAGCCATTTTGTTGTACTCTTTGTCAAACCAATGTGGTTTGACTGGCCCAACTTGCCGAAATTTAAGGGACACAAATCGGGCGCACAACGATTTCACACCCTCTTTAATGATAGTCCAACGGGTTTCAATAGATGAATCCTGTGGTAAAGACCAGTCTATCTGGCTCGCTGCTCGAATGAGGCCATTAAAGTCCGCCTTCCAATAGTTGAAGGCTGACTCTAGTGGGAGAGGATACGGTAGCGGTAGTTCTAAACTGCCTATGATCACTGAGTGGTCACTCGCTCCCAGACGCTCGAAGACTTTAATGTTACGTACACGCTGCTCACAGCTAGTCAAAAGTAGGTCTAAGCATGATGGAGCCGCGCGCGCAGTAATGCGTGTCGGTTGGTTGATGTGCTTTGTGGCTCCAGTTTCAAACATCAACTCCGTAAACTTACTCTCGACTTCACACTGGCCGGGGAGAAGTTCAGTTTCAGGCCACTGTATTCGGGGCAAGTTAAAATCACCCATGAGTAGGAACATCGGACGACTCATGTGGTTGCGGACATGCGGCAACCAGTCCAAACTGCGGCTCAGTGGGCTGCGAAATACCACGCCCACGAGCAACTCGCAGCGTCTGAGGTGAATCGAACACCATAACTGCTCACATAGACCATCAACGCTTTGATAGGCGCTCACTAGTCTCCCACACAAGGAAGACTTTATGTAAAGTAGAACGCCACCGCGATCATTTGATGGTCTATCACAGCGGAAGCATGAGTAGCCGGTGATTTCCACTTCTTGGATTGTTACCTCGGAGTTTAACCATGTCTCAGCAAGGCCTAATACGTCCGGTCGCTGTGAGCTCACAAAGTCGTACAGCAAATCGCGCTTGTTCATCAAACTGCATACGTTAGTAAAGGCTACGCGCAGACCGCGGTAGGACCCGCTGGGCGCGCCTGAAGTATTAGCAACCTGTTAGTGATGGTGATGATGATGATGATGATGATGATGATGATGATGATGATGATGATGATGATGATGATGATGATGATGATGATGATGATGATGATGATGATGATGATGATGATGATGATGATGATGATGATGATGATGATGATGATGATGATGATGGTGATGATGATGATGATGATGATGATGATGATGATGATGATGATGATGATGATGATGATGATGATGATGATGATGATGATGATGATGATGATGATGATGATGATGATGATGATGATGATGATGATGATGATGATGATGATGATGATGATGATGATGATGATGATGATGATGATGATGATGATGATGATGATGATGATGATGATGATGATGATGATGATGATGATGATGATGATGATGATGGAGCAATGGAACAATGGTTTATTACGGGTAAAAATGCGTTGCATAACAAGTCCCGTAGGATGGAACTTATTGCGAAAATCAATTGTATGATGGAGTGAAAAGCGTTGTGGTGGACTCACCATAGGCTTATGCGGAATAGCGGATGATCGCGTATTAAATGTGTAAATCCATAAATCCATTGGTTGGGCGTTTGGCAAGGCACCGTTTGATTGCATTTTGTAGCCTCTGGCTAACAACTGATAAAATGAAATGCAAGTGAGACAAAGCATCTTCAACACGTTTTTAAATATCGCCAGATTGGGAGCAGAGACGACATAATTAGGGAGGGCGTTCCAAGGCTGGCACACGCGGAGAGAAAAGAAATTTCTACGGCATTCAAGCCGGCTATAATGAATTGTCAGTTTCAGAGGGTGACCTCTTAGTTTAGTTTTTTTGGTTCAATTCCAGCAGCGCGCGGCAAATGTGGTTTGGGTTCTTCAGAATCTGGTAAACCATAATGAGCTCCCATCGCGAAAGCCGTTATCGACTGCTGTAGATTCTTAGAGATTTCAGTCTAAGCTGATAGGGTAGATGAAAGAGGCGCCTGACGTTCTTGGTTGCACTTCGTTGAGGAGTCTCGAGAGCAACGAGATCCTGTTTCTGCCACGGCTGCCACACCTGAATAGCATATTCCACTTGAGTTCGCACATAGGTGTTAAGCATGTGGGGAAATATTGAGGCTTCAAACCGACCGAACGCTCTGCGAAGAAGGCCGAAGTGTTGATTTCCGGTTCTCGTCGCCTTCTCTGCTTGTTTTGAACACCCAAGATCTTCCTGTACCAATACACCCAGGTCACGCTCCTGAGAAACCTTTGCCAAGGTGTAGTCTCCAATCTTGTAAGCGCTCACCGGCTGGTGACGCAGATGTATCACTTTACACTTAGCTATGTTCAATTGAAGCTTGTTCCTCTTTGACCATTCGTTAATGCAATCTAGGTCATGTTGGAGCAGATCCTGATCTGGCTTGTTACTAATCGCCCGCCATCTCTTGATGTCATCGGCGAAAAGCAGGAAATTTGAGGAGATGACCCTTGCCAGGTCGTTGATAAACACCGGGAATAAACGCGGTCCCAGCACTGAGCCTTGTTGGGACACCACATTCCACCTCAATTGGGTTAGAAAGTGATGATGATGATGTTGAAGGTGATGGCATTTTCTTCAATCTTATGCGGAAATAAACTCCAAAGCTTAACATTTTTGCTAGACGCCTTTTTCATTGCATTTAATGTGTGCTTTTGCCGACATTTCCATGCGTGGATATCTTAGTCTGTGTAGGGATTTTACTATTTGTTATACTTAGTCAGAACACATACTTCTTAATTCGACACTGTCTTCCACAATAGTCTAAACCGCTTATTCCCTCTTATTTAAGTGGACTTGATATTTTTGAAACATCCCAGGTCGTCTCGTGTCGACAGACTTTATTCATCAATGCCGATCCAAGATGGTGTTTGCGATATAGCAACATTTCCATTGTTCTCTTCATTGGCAAGCACAATATGAGCAGAAACACACAAACGATTATATACATGGAAAAAATAAGTAAAACTAAGTAAAATGTTACAGTCAAGACCATAGCAACTGAATTACTTCAAGCGTTTTTGTGCACATAGCTCAGTTTGATAGGCCTTAATTAACAACGCATCTCTAATTGCCGGCATTATCGGGTTTTTGTTGCTTAATAACACTTTATACTGGCTGAGACGCTGGAACAATTTTCACTGAGTGCAGCGCTTATGCACTCAGTAGATGTGGAAACCTTATTCACAAAAGTTTCTTTACGTGAGATGGTCGATAATTTATGTGATTTTATCCTGAGCCAGAATATGTCTGTAGGCCTGTCAGTGGAGTATTTAAAGGATATGATGCTATTGTGCACCAAGCATATACAGTTTGATTTTGAGGGGACCGCATACAAAAAGGTCGATGGAGTCGCTATGGGTAGCCCTCTGGAACCAATTTTAGCCGACATCTTCCTCGGCCTTATCTAAAGGCAAGCTGCTGACAGCATTGATGAAGCGAAATTGCACAGACGATATGTGGATAACATTTTAGTCTTCACTAGCGGAGAACAATTTAACCGGCTGCTGACCATCCTAAATTCGATTCACCCATGAAGTGGAAAAACAGTTTCCTGGCGTTTTTGTATTTACTCATTAGGAGACAGGCTGAAGGTACGTTCATCGCAAGGTACTGTTCATTGCAAATCAAATTGGATTGGACAGTACCTTCATTTTTCAAGCTTCCCCCGATCGCACCCAAACGCGGCTTAGTGAAACATCTCTTCTACCGGCTAGACGTATTTGCAGCCCCGAAAGGTTAAAAGCCGAAGAAGAAATTTTACGCAAGACCTTACTTTCTAGTGGATATTCTGAGAAGTTTATTCAAGTACACATCAGACCTTTTAGCGTGAAAACACCGGTGCTGACGGATGAATAAAAGATTGGTTATTTGTTCTTGCCGCTCAAATAGGACCATGTGGCAAATACTATCGGACACAAACTCCGGTCCGCCCAAACACACACCTACACGACAGCCCAGTTGCAACTCAGGCATACCACGCGAGGACTTGTTCTTCAGAACCGTCAAAGCACCTCGTCGGTCATTTCGGCCTCCCGTTGTTTATCAGTTCACCTGCGGTTGCAGTGAAATGTACATTGGCAGAACAAACCGCCAGTTAGCTCAGAGGGTAGCTGAACATTTGCCAAAGTGGTTGGGTCAAGTGAGTACGCAACAAAATGGGACGGGTCTGAGAATTATTCGGAG